ACTCCCAGCAGAGAGGAGATTCCTGCGACTGCTGCTCGTCTGAAGGCTTTTGACAGGGCCAGTGCTGGTCCCYGTTTGTCAGGAAGCTCCTGCCAGTTAGCGCCGAACCGGCTGTTGCTTGGGAGGCCCGTTGGCAGCGGCGGAACGGCAGTTACCGCTGGCAGCCACGCAGCGGGGCAGCCCCGGCTCCGGCACGCGCTCCAGTGCGGGCCCCGGTGAAGGCTTTAGGGCAGGCTCCGGGCTCTTGAGCAGGTGCTGATGCAGGCTCCGAYGCAGGCTCTGGCATGGGCTCTGGCRCAGGCTCCAGTGCAGGCTCCGGCATGGGCTCCGGAGCAGACTCCGCTGCAGGCTCTGGCGCAGGCTCCAGTGTGGGCTCTGGTGTGGGCTCTGATGTGGGCTCTGGCACAAGCTCCAATGCGGGCTCCAGAGCAGGCTCTGACGTGGGCTGTGGTGTGGGCCGGAGAAGTGTGCGGGCACCAGGGCGCTCCCGCAGGAATKGGGCCCGCCAGGCTGTCCCCTCTGCTGCCGGCTGTGCCGGGCGTGGGGAAGGGCAGCGATGGCTTCGTCACTGCCAGCACCCGTCACCTACCGACACCACCGGGTGTTGGCTTTAAATTAATCCTGATTTATACGTGGAGAGAATCTGAGGCAGCGCCAGAGATGGAGCCGATTGGCCTAAAGGTGTGACAAGGTTTTGGCACGCTGGTTACAAAACCAAGGTTTTGGAGAGGTTGCAGCTTTGCTTTCTGACCTGCTGCTGTGTGAGGGGTCATTTGCTGCCATGCTTAACACTGGGATTGTTGCTTATAGGGTTTATGGCTTGTTCCATTAAACATATATGACATTATAAAGAACAATGACTACTTATGCTTCAGAATTGTATTTTCTTCTTCTATCTAAAAGAAACAGTTCCTGAATTTTAACTTCACTTTTTCCCATTTTTTTTCACATTAAAAATAGAAAGCAGGAAAAWAAATATGGTGCTGTTGCTTTCCTTGTTGGCTGCATACATTTTAATTTATGGCTAATATTCTGTAACACATTCCACAAGCAGGACCGCGATGGACTGCTGCTAAGCACGTGTAAGAGAAAGCAATGCGGCCATGAGGGAGCTGCAGGACGTCTTGCCCGGAGCGTTTCCGCTGCCCTGCCCTGGTGGCTGTGCTCTGTCGTTCCGCTGGCGCAGCCCGGGCGCCCTCGTGCCGCTGAGCCCCGTGGAGGCGCCGGAGCCCCGAGCGGAGCGCTGCCGGCAGCCGCAGCAGCGCGGCCAAGCAGGCCCGGCTCGGAGGCGCCGAGGGGCCGGCAGCGCTGCCCTGGCCCTGCCCTCCGTGCCCTCAGTGCCCCTCRCAGGGACGCCGCACGTCTGAGCGGGCCCTGCGCGGCGCCCCTGCCCTCTCTCGTGCCCCGGAGCCCCTTAGGCGAACGCTCGTGCCGGTGCGTGCCYGTCGTGTGCGGGGCGCTCCTGCTGCTCCTGCTGCTTCTTTAAACAGAAATGTCCAGGGATGCAGGAGGGCATGGGAGCGCGTGCATCACGTCGCCGCTTCCTTGCTCACATGTCCCTCTTTGCTGTGAGTGAGGCTGCGACGCTCAACAGGAAACAACTACAAAAATGCCGATCACATCCAGCAGGAGAGGTCGTGTTCTCATGTGAGAATCTGTGATACRCACATACTGGGCCTCTCCTCAGGGCTTTTGTCGTGTCTGGGAAGACAGAGAAAGGTTTGCTCACTGCATGCAATGGGGTAGTTACAAGATCTGTGCAAAGTTTTTCCTTTGCGAGTTTGCGTAAGGTCTTCCCTTAGCAATTAGAGAAATTCCTAAGGAAGTGCGGAACCCTACATTACTCACCTACGTCTCGGTAAGTTTAGTCATTAGCACCAGAGAGCTCTGCACTGCTGAGTGAGGCTGCTGTTTGCGGGGGAAGGAAGGGCGCCGGCGCCTGTGGGCTGRTGCCGGGTGCCTCGGCGGTGCCGGGCCCTGCGCGGCCCCTCGGCGCCCGTGGGGCCTGCGCCGCTCGCCCCGCGCTCCATCCCCGCCTCGGCTCCGGGGCTCTGGGACGCCCCGGGAGCTTCAGCACTCAGTGTTTTATGAATTACGTGTTCCTGGGAGGGCAGACGAGTCCTCCTGCTCTCTGTTTACCACTTGCTCCCTTTCATTAATTCCTTGTCCATTTGTGCTGCCCTTTTGCTGCCTCCGGGTGCCCACATGGTAAGACTTGCCACCTGTGGACAAAAAGAAGCTTTGTTTTCTCGTCCTTTCCTCTCCAATTTCTTGCTGTCCTCAACTCTCGATTCTTTCACTTTTTTTTTCTTTTTTTTTTCCCTGTTGCTTTTAAACATCCTTCTAAAATTCACAGCACTGCCCAACCCTTCGTCCATCAGACCTTGGATAGACAAAACACCCATCTTGGTTTTACACCGTTCAAAGGGAGGATCAAACACCATGGACTGTGCCCCAGGTGATGATAACACCACCTATTCCTGCAGTAGGGTTTCCATAAGAGAGAGACCAAAATTAGAAGGCTATCTGCTTTCAAGGGCCTCATGAGGTTCCAGCAGAACTTTAGGCAAGATAAATGCCGTGTTTCTCCTATATACGAGACCCTGTTGTGGATGGAAGAGAAACTTCTCATGGTGCGTGTGTTGAACGGGAAACAAGGTGCTGCCCCCCGGCTGGGCAGTTCTGCCGGGACCTGCAGCCGACCCTGCCTCCCCGTCGGGGCGCACGAGCCAGGGGCCGTGTGGGGCACAGCAGAGTGGTGTTCACTAGAGACAGCACTTAGGGGCTGAAGCCTGAAAATGTAGGAGGGTGGAAGACAACTGTGAGAGACAGGAATGCCAGAAAGATGTGGAGGATTTGGCAGCCTTGTCTTCAGGCCTACTGTGCTACCCTGCAGAACAGAATGGAAGACAACCATAGGAATGTGTTAGCACTGGAGGGATGGCACGTGAGCCGTCGCGACTGAGGTACTCGGGAGGACTTTCTAGTTTCAATATACCTTATTTTGTTGTTGTTGTGTTGTATTTGGTTTCAAAGAGCAGTAATGAAAAGCTGTAATGAAGCTGTAGGACTGCTCCAACACTTTCCCGTTGGAGCTGCTCCCTGGTAGGCTGCTTTGGCTGAAACCTTGGCRGGGGTGAGCGAGGGCTGCCCAGCAGCCAGCGCTCTGTAATGCCGGGCACGGGGAACCTCACTGTGCCCGTGAACCTTCAGAAACGCCATCGCAAATTCACTGCTGGGAAGCGGGTTGGCAGCAGCCCAATGCACCTAAACATGCCCTCTGCAGAGCACAAACCTCTGCTGCCCCGTTATGTCATCTGGACTGCCCAGCGCTTTTAACCATGAGGATGCTGCAAAGAGAGAGGAAAACTCGAAGGCGCTCGCCTCGGGTAACGAAAGCCACCCCAGGGTGTCACAGCGTCTCGAGCAGAGGTGGCCCTCTAGGCGCCCTCAAGGCTGGCGCTGTTGCGGTGCTGCGCGGAAGCTCGCACCAGCGCCTGGAAAACCACCTGTGCTGAGGAGCGCGACGCTGAGCGACGCTGAGCGATGCCTCACTGCCACGCGGCGCGCAGTGAGGTGTGCGGGCAGCGCAGGGCAGCGGGGGATAGTCGGTGTAGGACTGACCTCCCACGGGAATTACCCTCCGCAGGCTGGCTCATCTCAAAAGGGTAGTTTCAGGGATCAGTGCCAAAGTGACCTGGCACCGAGCGTAAATACATGGGCTGTCTTGTCCAGGAAGAAGGGAGCCAAATTGTGCAGACCCCAAACTGATTCTAAGTGGTCTTTTCTTGTTTTTTTTTTTTTTCTTTTTGACCTGGAACTGAAGCTTGGTTATGTCTAAATCTTTGTGGTTTGCAATCCATAACAAGCATTGAGTGTGGCCACCACGGTGACAGCACCTATGTTTGCGCTCGTCTTTTGGGCTGATGCTGCCACTCAGCCTTCCTCCTTCTACACCCTTCTGCAGAAGCCAGTTATCTCCACTGAAGGCTGCACATGCTTTCTTTGTGCTAATAAAGGAACAAAAACACTTCTCCTGCTTTTTTTAGGTACTCCACTAACGCTGGTATAGGTAAAAATAGCTTGTGTAGAGAAAAACGTGTTCCTAAATATATTYCCACCCAGCTGGGCCACCATTAATGTTGTGCATCATTAAATATTATCCAGTGCAATATTATGATGTGTGGGAAGGGATCCCAGACTGAATCTATTTTCGACCCGTCCGGTTGCTTTACAGTGAATCCCAATGAGCAGGGGAGTYGCTGCCCAGCCCAGGTGCTGCCAGGCGGCTCTCAGCGCGGGGCTGGCAGGGCGGCGCAGCGGCAGCGAGGCCACGAGCCGAGCAGGGCAGTCAGAGCAGAGCAGGGCAGAGCAGAGCTCGGCCCTGCGCACACCCGCCGGGCGCCCCGTGCAGCGCGGGCGGCGCTGGCACCGCGGCCCGGCCGGCGCAGAGCGGAGCGGAGCGGAGCGGGGCCTTGCCAGCTCCCGCCTGCCGCCCCAGCAGTCCCAGCACGCTGCTGCGTGGCAGGGCTGAGGAGGCTGCAACGGAAAACAAGACTGCCAGTTAGCAAGGAGCCCGCGGGAAACGATAGGCGATAAGAAATGGTGAATGAGCCACAAAGCCCGAATGGCTGGTGCAAGCATCAGGCACGCTTTGCTTCCAGAAGTGTGCCTGGGCAGAGCACCCACGTGGGCTTTGCAGCACTTCTGTTCTTCACAGMAGGGCAGCTGGGAAAGAAGGGAAGCAACATTTTGCTGCTCCTTTTCAGCAAAAGCTTTCTCAAGGTCAGTTTTGCTGCAGTAGGAGTTCCTGGAGCAAAACCTATGCGCAGGGATGCAGATTGATACAATAACGATAATCTCTGCTGGGCTGCAGGAGGGTCTTCGGAAGAGTTTCCTTTCAAGAAGACTCACAAGCGTTTCAAAGTTATGCACAGATGTGACTATGTAACAAATACAAATTAAATATTTGACAGCTGTTTCTTGTTTTTGTTTTGCAGGAAGAAATCGTTCCTGTTTTCAGCTCTGTATGCTGCCTTCATATTTGGTGGGCGGCACCTAATGAACAAACGAGCAAAATTTGAACTGAGGAAACCATTAGTGCTGTGGTCCCTGAGCCTTGCTGTCTTCAGGTAGGCACTTCTCTGCACCGAGAGCCTTTGACCGTGGTCTGCAGAAGGGTTTGGCCTTYTCCAGCCCCAGCTGGCAGCTGTGCTAATAGGACCAGAGGCTCACYCAGAAAGGCCTTTCTGTAGCTCTGTCACTAAGGGTTGAACCGCAGAGMTGGTCCTCTCTGACTTTGCCAGGTCACAGCGTTTGAGCAGGAGAGAAACACAGAGCGCTCTTGAATAGCAAAGTGTAAAGTGGGGAAATGAGAGAATGCACATAGTAGCATTGCAACGAATTAACCAGGCAAGCTAAAAACTGAAATAATCCCATTAAGATGTCAGGCTTGCTCTCACTTACTAGTAAGTATTACATTTACATAGATGGATAATATAGAATATTTAGTGAAGACTGATTTCCAKTACAGTGAGGCAAACCCGGAGTAACTACTTCGATGATGGGGAAATTAGCCTCCTGCAGAGATCAGAATCCGGGGGTTGGTTATTCATATCAGTTGRTTATATATATCAGTAAAATAATTACTGATTATATTAGTTCACAAGCACCTCAAGCAGGTTTGCTGACTGTGCAACTGAATGGCGGCTGAGTTTTCACAGGACAGAAATAGTTGGAGCTGGATTTCTACAGGGTAAAATAAGCAGGAGCAGCGAAGCTTGTTTGTTTTCTTTTCTTCTTTTTTTTTTTTTTTTTTAAACTCCAAAAGAGATCTTTCACACTGGTTCTCTCTAAAACTCCAGCAAGGGAAATTTATTTTTATAAGTTGTCTCACCCAGCCAGGACACGCTAGCAGTAAAACTTCGGATTCTGCTGGCTTGACTTTAATACTTTATAGTTTCCTTAAAAAAATAAAACATCTTAATGTGGACAAAACTTGCAAATTCTGGATACATTTGAGAACGAGTTTTAACGTGGTGAATATTTATAATTTCCTTCCGCTTCCATTTGGTGCTATGCTTCTTGCAGTCTAACACAGTTTCGTTGCACTGTCARGATCCTGGAGCAATTGCCATCTTTCATTCCAGAAACAGCTGAATTTCAGAAACTGTTGAGTTAGTTCCTAAGTGACATCTCTTTTGTGGCTCAGCTTGTAAAGTGATTTGTTGCAGCTGGGTCCCATACTGCACAGTGTAGTTACACCTTCAATAAAACACAGCCACTGGAAACAGAAGCTGACATGTAAAGCAGCTRTAGTTCAGTTCCAGATCTGGGGAAAGGTAGCCTGATTTCCAAGCTGTCCTTTGCGGAAGGTCACTTGGATGGTTTTGAAAATCATGTTACCTCAGATGGGTCTGTTGCTGAAATTCACGGTGTGGGCTTGCTTTTATTTTTGATGTTTATCTCCTCCCAAAATCCTAAGCAACGTTCCCATCAACAGCCAGCAGGGCTATAGGCGGCTATAGGAGCAAGTGCTGTCTGCATGGGCTGAAAATGTTCAGACTGAAGTGAGCGTGTTCACTCCTTGCTAAGCGACATTTCCCACCGTCGTATGAAATGCCTGATGTGTGACCTGCAGTAGCTGCTTAGGTTCTCAGTGAAACTTAAAATGGGGCTTCATGCTTTCGAAGCTAGTCGCTGCCAGGGTGAGCCCACACTGTGCCCCTGGCCTGGGCGCTGTTGCCGGATGAGTGCGGTCTGCAAGGGAGTCGCTGCTTCCCCCCGCAACTGAGATAGTGCAGTTCCACGGACGCTGCCTGAACACTGTGCACTGGAAAAAGAGGCAGCAGGGTGGACAGGAGAGGGAACACAAATGTGACACATGCAAACACTGAGCTGTTAAATTGCTGGACTTGCTAGTGGGGACCATGGAATGGTGGAAAAATATCTGGCTACCTTTAGAAAACCAGAGCTTCACATTTACAGCAAGAACACACCGAGGTGCAGAAGTTTCTTTTCATTTCATTAAAACATRTACTTGTATTTGGTAAGAGCTTTTTTATAGACGAGACTTTTATAGACTAGACRCTAGAAGAAATTTAAGTTATATGTTCCTCTGGGTGTCAGACTAATATGCTGAAGATTGAAGCAGTGCAGGACTCAAAATCTTACAGTAAGGTTGAGCTTGAGTTTTCAGCAGCTTTTACAGTAACACACGATCCCACACAGATCAGAACAAACAAACAAGAACTGCCCTCTTGGCTGGAAAAGAGTGGAAATGTGGAATAGACATTAAAACGTGAGCTGGAGAGCTCCTACAGGAGCTGGACATCAGCTTCCTGGGCTTCCGCGCCCGGGACCCCTCCTGGGGCCACCGGTCCCCCCAGCCTCAGCGCCGCCCTTAGCCGGCTGTGCTAGACTCTGRACGCTGAAAACTCCCCAGCCAACAACTTGAACTGGTTTTTGCTTTCGTCATTTTTCTTCTCTGACGTCCRCCTGACTCGGAGTTTACATACCCTCGGCCTGAAAGACCTTTCTGCTTCCTCTGAAGGTCAATGTGGATAGATTYAGAAGCTCTTCTGCTTGTAGACTCACTGTTGTTCGAGAAAAACACTTCCTACCCTCTAGAAGTCAACCTCTTAATTTTCTGCTCTGTGGAAATTGTGACTTTTTCTATAGCTTTGGAAGCTCCAAGTAATGTGTTTCTGGGCCTTGAGTGATGGCCCTGAGGAGGAGAGGTCTTTGGTGTTCAGTCTCGAGGGCAGCGAGAGCCAGTTTCTGCTAATCTGACCCTTTTACCTGCTTTTGACGAGCCTCAGAAATAGCACCACTTAGCAGAGGCTGCAAACATGTGCTGCAGAGTTAAAAAAAAAAAAAAGAAATTGATGCCAGCAATGACATGGTCCTTCTTTAGACTGTGTCCTGTATGCTTTTTTCTTGCCAAGATCACTTAAATGTGGTAGCAGCTACAGCAGGAAACTCGCTACGCTTATAAATAAACAAAGCAACTACACCACCCTACTGAGCTTGCTGAGAATTCAGGAGCTTGGTCAAGAGGGAATTTTATGTCAATACTGGCAACAGCAGGATTTCTGACACAGAAAAGCAGCTTTGTTTCTCCTTGGAAGCACCTTCTGTTTTCAAATACTTTGTCTCCAGAATGAGTTTATCACTTCTCAGTGAAAATTTTTGTAAGTAAATTTTTCAACAGAAATCTTTCTTTTTGAAGCCACCATGAAACCATGATCTTTTAAACCCTTTTGCCGAGAAATTAGTTTGGGGTCCTTTTTCTTCTTTCTTGGTAGGCTGGTTCACCTGATGCAGGCACTGAAGGTTTCTTGTTCTCTGAAACAGTTCCAGTCTTTCCTCTTGCTTTTCTGCACTTCGGTGTAGGGGCCCTCGCGTTAGCCCTGGCCGCAGCTCTGCACATGCCCTGCTCCCGGCCGCTGGGGATCCTTCGGAAGGAGCTCGGCACAGAAGTTTCCTTCTCAGTTTCGTAAGACCCCAGGTGCTGATTCACCTGCACATCCAGGAAAGAGTCAGCCTTGCATTGCTAAATATTTCCTGGGGTTAAAATCTGAGAAAACACAACTAGCTTGAGTTGCCAGTTCCATATTCCATCAGAATGGGATGCTTGAAAATCAGGTTTGATTTTCAACCACTTTGAAATTCAGGTCATCATTGACACCAAAGCATTTTTCAGCTCCAGGAGGTCAGAARTACCACGCTGGCAGCTCAGGGAGTCAGCAAACCTGAGAGCTGGACTCTCACAGAAGGATACAGAGTCATTAGTTCTTGTTTTCATTACATCTCAGCTGGATTTTTGTAATTCCTTTTGTAGGTCTTGCAGTCTGTGTATGGTAGCAAGGAGCTTAAGTGCATAGTTGGTGGCTTTGTCTTCACAGAAGACAACAGCGTGGCTCCGTTTTTGTTCATCTCCCTCCCTAAAGTGCTGCCAAGACAAGAATCGGGATCCTGGCAGTAACTAATAATAGGAGAGCACCTTCCCTACGGAGCGTTACCAGGTGGCTCCGTGCGAGCAAGGAGCCGGGATGGCTGAGGGGACGCAGGGATGGGCGGCGCGAGGCTGGCGGAGCGCGAGCCGCGCCGCGCGCAGGGCGGCACGCGCCAGCACCGCCGTCCCAAAGGGCTTCAGCGCTTTGGGGCTGTCTCGCTCAAGTATATTCCAGTTAGGATGCTCTTAAGTATGAAAATTGATGAAAAGTGATTCATTTTTACATCCTATCTCAAGATCTACCATTCTGGGAGGTTAAAAAATGACTTAATTTGATATGTTGCTGAGCAACCTGTCAAAAATCTTAAAATACTCTCAAATTTTATATGGGTTCTGAAAGTGCATTCAAAGAGAAAATGAATTAGTGAAAGAGGATTGTTTGCCAAATAACATTAAAATTAGTAAGTAGCATTTAAGGTGAACTATTTATGTTCTCTTTTATCAACCTAAAAGCATGAGAATTAAGTGCCAAGCATGCCCTGTGTTTGTAATGCATTAATGCATATTCTCAGCATGATCTCTTCTCAGAGCCCAGGTTAGTAAAGTGCTTAACATATACCTGCTTAAGCATTTATTTCAATAGAACTATKTTCATCTTTATGAACGTACTCTTTTGTAGTAGAATACTGGAAACAAAAAGGCATTTTGAAGCCCCAAGAGTGCTGTGGGGGGAGAACTTACGAACTGAAAAGCAAATACCAGCTGGCATTAAGAAAACGGGCACAAAGGTGATAGCAAATATATGGACTGAAAGCAAGTGTAGTGCTCTACCAAAGGTCTATCTCCGATACGTACCTTGTTTACTGTAACTGAGAACATCCCATGACCAATACCTTTATTCCCGGAATTAGAGCTACCGCTGATGCCACATGACAAAATTGATTTTGAATGTAAACCAAGTTCACTGAGAGATTCCTCAGGCCCTACCGAAAGTAAACTTGAAAAATTTTTTTTTCCTCCAGCCAAGCTGGTGCTGCTTCCATGAAACAGTTCTTTCTTGTTGCTGTTTAGTTTTGCTTGCTTGTTTGCTTGCTCGTTTATTTTTGCTGACCAWCTTAGCAAGGGCAGTTCATTTGAAAACCAGCTGTTGCGCTCACCTTAGCCCTGTTCTCCTCC